TCTGAACCATTTTGGGGTAAGTTACATATGTACCCTATATCTGCTCTGATCTCTAAACACTTTAGTATAGGCTTTCTAAGAAGAATGATATTCTCTTACATATACATAGCATATTATCAATATAAGTTTATATTGTTTTAATATTTTAATCTGTAGTCCATATTCATGTTTTGTTAGTCGACCTAATAATTTCTTTTATAGCATCCCCAACTCTCTCCAGTGCAGGATCCAATCTAGGGTTAGGTATCACATTTAGTTGTGTTTCTTTAGCCTCTTTAATATGTAACTCTCTATAGCCTTTCTCAATATTTTATGAAATTAACATTTTTTAAGAGTATAGACCCCCTTGACATTCTAAAAACAGGATGCGGTTTCTTTTGTGTTTTTTCTGATTAGATCACGGTGATTAGATTCAGTTTATGCATTCTCAGCTCATTCTTGTCAAGTGAGACTGTGTTTTTCTCAGGATATCTCATCTGCCCTACAAAATATCTACCTGCCTTCCATTGGTGATGCTAATCTTGATTAACTACGCAGGCTGTTGTCTTGTTATGTACTCTATAATCATGGTTTTGTTTTTCTCCCTTGCAACTAATAAGCAGTCTGTAGTGATTATTGCTGTGCAACTATTCTGCTCCCAATCAAAATTTCCCCCTAGATTTATCGCTCATCGATGAGCCTTGCCTGATCTAATCATTACTTTTGATGTTTGCGAAATAATTATTTTCCGGCTCTATCACTCCCTGCACATTTTCCAGTGAGCTCTTGGTATTCTACCATAAGCAAGAGTCCTCTCTCGTCATCTACCTACCTACCTACCTATCCATCCATCCATCCACCCATCCACCTAACCATCATCATCTATCTATCTAACCTATCATCATGGACTCTTTAATCCCTGCATTTTCAATGGTTTGTAATTCAGTACTGTACTTAATCATTTTGATGATTTGACAGTGGAAGTCGTATTTGTATATTCCTTCTTCCACAGTGAGAACTTGGCTTCCAACAATATCAGCATGTTTGGTCATATGCTTAATCTTTTAACACATCTAAAATAATTTCAGAATTATTTTGCCCATGCTGCTAAAATAAGCAAACCACTAAAAAGAGTTCAGGGCTTGTTTTTAATTCTTTCTTCAGCTCAGTGGCCCTTACCTTTCCTCAAAATGAGGTTATATAGGCAAATACTGTGTACATATTTTATTTGAATTGGTTTCTTTCTCTCTCCCATCCTTCTTCCATCTCCCTCTCTCACTCTCTCTCTCCCCTCTTCCTTTCCCTTCCCTTCTTCTCTCCTTGCTTTTCTTCCTTCCTTTTCCTTCAGTGTGCTTAGAGTATCAATTTGCAACATGATTAGGCTTGTTATTTTCTGTTAGCTTTCAGGCTCTGTTTGGTTTCTGTTGTTGTTTCCCCCTCTCGCCATTCTTTTGGGAAAGACTGTGTAGAACTGATAACAAATTCTTCCTTAAATATTTGGTAGACTTCACTAGTGAATACATCTGGGCCTGGAGTTTTCTTTGTTGGAAAGTTTTTAACTACAAAGCCCATTTCTTTAATAGATATAGGATGTCTCCAATAATCTTTTTCTTTTTGAGTGAGTTCTAATTTATATCTTTCAAGGAATTTGTCCATTTCATCTAAGACATCTCTTTAATGTCTATGAGGTCTGTAAGAACACACTCCGTCATTTCTTATCTACCTTTTTCTTAGTCACGATCTTACAGTATTTGGTAAAAAGAAACAAAGAAAGAAAATTGCTGAGTAAACCAAGATCTATCTTTAAGTAGGCGGAAGGGAATATAAGACTATTTGTGGCCATATCAGAGAGCAGCCTGATACAGAGAAATAAATGGCTCATAACACTGTGGTGCTGAGTGCAGATGTTGAAGGCAAACTGCGGAGGGGACGTGTGAGAAGCACTGAGGGATGGAGCTGGGCTGGGGCCAGTGGGCACAAGGAGGAGGGGGGCGATCTGAGAGAAGTAATGCAGGTAGGATTACAGGGCTTGATGAACACATGATCGAACAAACAATGCAACGGTTTTTATAGGACAGGAAATTCATTAAATGCTGTTTTTCTTGTTAGAAACTTAATATGTAAACAGAGCACACTGACACAGACTCGGTCACCAAACATTTGTCTGTGGCTTAGAAGTCCTTCTATATCTGTACCATTTGTGGTCCCTGCTTGTGATGATCCCATGCTGCCATTTGCCACTACTCTTTTTCAGATAAAGACTAACAATACTATAAACGAGGTTCTCACTATTTTTTCCTGCTCTATAACTTCAAGCTCTTTTACTCTGAATCTCAGGATGAGTCCCAGGGCACACTCTTTGGAAAAACACAGCAAAAAGGTTAAGATGACTCATTTTGACAAGTGACAAAAACATTTCTTTGGCCCTGTGGAAATGGAAAAGTGCAACATTTTAAATTGAATCATAAATGACACAGATTTGGGCAAGGAGTACAATCAAATGGATCCATGAAATGGAGACTCCCCAAGACACATGGCTATAGTCATTGGTAAAGAAGCAGGTTGTCATTTAGGATGGGACAAGTGCAGCAGTTATCAAAATGTCTCGTGTCACACCAGATTATATTAGCAATCTGTTCATTCGATGGCCCAGATGGACACCAGCAAGGGATGCTCAGAGAAGGTGACTCTCTGGTATTTTCACTCAAACAGATGGGTTTTTCCAAAGTGATTCATGTTGCCACATTACCAAATCAACAGCTAGGAAAATTAACACAGATTTGACTTGCTATATAAATGAACCTCTGTAGCATTTTTTTTCCCCTATCAAATTGCAGCTTAAATTTCACCTCTTTCATGAAATCTTTCCAGGCTAATATCTCTCGGCATGTCCTCATTCGACATTTATTTCCTTCAGCTCTCTGATACACACATGGACACCCACACATCTCTCTATATTTGGCCTGAGAGAATGAAGTGTTGGTGAATCAACTCACTGATGGAGACTCACTATGCTTAAACACACATAAATTAGCAAATTTCACAGAGTAAGAAAATAAAATACATACAATACCAAAAAAATTTTAGTATCTATCCTTAGTATAAAGCATTATAGCAATTTACCCATTATTTGTTAATCATTTATTATTAGTTGAACACTTTCAAATTTCTGCCAGCACATAGCTGATCACCATATTCATTAGGCTACTGTTTATGTGAATGTACTGTGCTAACTACACGCTCATGTTCTCATGAGTCAAATTTTTTTGTGTATTCCATTAACTGTGCTGTATTTTAGTATAAAATTTTTTTTATGACCAAGTGAGATGGATTTATTCCAGGAATGAGGTTGGTTACACTGTAAACTCCTGACGATTAGCTTTTTTGATTGTGAGTGCCTCACATTAACCTTCTGATTGCTGAGGTATCCATTTCAAAGACATCCATCTCCAATACATACATTGCCAGCTACTGATCTGGATAAAGAGCTAGGTTGCCCCACTCATGGCGTTCCTCTTTCTAGAAAGCTCTGGTTGAGGTAGACAACTGACCATTTGATTGACTGCTCGCTTTTTCCTTCCTAGCTCTTATGGTTTAAATTCACCAATAAGGAGTGAACTCACAAAACCCTAGGAACCCTTCCCTTGACCCCAATAAAGGCAGAACCCCAGGTTTGTTTTCTTTTTCAGCAGACCTCACTATATCTCAGGAGATTTTTGTTAAAGACAGAAGGGTCCTTATTGGCTTATGCGATCAGAGCATACAAAGAATTTATAGAAAATTTCAGAGCATATGGCATTCTGCTGTCTTCAAAGTGTGGTTTGAAGGGACCAGCAGTGAACAGGAAGAGGAGGAAGGATTTAAAAGAAAGCTGTTGGAGTATTGTGTTGCAAATAAAATCTAAGAAGGCACTTTGCAATTCATTTCCCTGTTTCTCTGTAACAGAGAAGTGTTCCTGGTAGTTTTACTGCTGTCTTTTGTTCCTAAACATCATAAATGTTCCTTGCCTGTTTTACATCCTAAATTTTAACTCTATTGTGTTCTCGCCAAGAATCTGACACTTCTCCTGGTGTACAGGAAAGAAGGAATGCCACAGCTTAGCTAAGTAAGGGGCGGGGAGTGGTCTGTGCCTGTGTGAATGTGTCACAAACTTGCATTTTTATCCATCGTCTCATCCTTAAACAATAGCATTTGAGTAAAATAATCTCTAAATTCTTCCAGTCCTATAAATCTACCACCCTAAGGGGATTCCATTTGACTCAGGTGTGGACCCATCAAACTCAACCTACGTCTATGTGCAATTGTTAATTAAAGCATTCCACTCTGGACATCGATTCAGACTGAAAGGGGAATGGTGTTTTTCAGGGCTTTTGTGCTGTCCCCCTTCCTTAGTTTGATGATCACCAACCAAAGATGACTGACATCTCAAGGCGGTCATTGCAGACCCAGTCATGAAGATCTAATCTGCCTTGGTCTTCTGAGAGGACAGGAGACAGAGACGGAGTCGTCGCATAGAACAGCTCCAGAGACTAGCGATCACAGTGGTGCCCTCGATTTGGAAGCTATTAAACCCTTGCTTTTCAAAGTGAGGTCTGAAGAGCAGCAGCGAAGGCACTACCTGTGAGTTTGTTAGAATCTCAGCCCCCCACTCCCTACTCCAGACCCGCAGGAGCGGCGTCTGTGTACGAAGATGTCCATGTGATTCTTGGGCATATAAAAGTTTGAGAAGCCTTTAGTTAAGTGTCCTTGACCACCCCTATGTTGTCTCTAAGCGTGTCAAGGACCAGCGTCCCGGCCACTCGTCTCCACCGAGGAGCCAGAGAGGGACGGACGCGAGGCGCAGGGCTGTCTCTGCAGCCCCCGCGCTCCTACCCTGGCGGGCAGTGCTGGGCCCCGTCCCCCC